CATTGCACTCTAGCCTGGGTAACAAGAGCGAAACTCCGTCTCAAAGAAAAGGGAAGATCAGGACTCAGTGACTTGACTTCCATGGAATATTCTGGAATATATCCGTTGAGAGACAAGAATTGACTTTATGGTTTATTTCTCTATTCTCATGCCTAAATTTTTTATATTAATCTCCTGGTTTACACACTTATTTCTATTCTGCCACCACAAAAGTTAGGGCAAGAAGACATAAATATCAGAGCAAGCTTTTACTAATTTCTTTTTGTAAAAAAATAAATAAATAAAGATAGCTTCCTGCTGAACCAAGAGTCTATCTAGTAAGACACAAAAATATGAAATCATTTTCAACAAGGTCTTGAAATTTTAGACAAAACTCTGCAAGGCAGAGAGAAGTACATTTGAGCATTGAGAATCGATACCACTTAATGCTATGCCTGTGTTCCCAAGGCATCGCAAGACACTCAGTACTTTTCAAGATGTTAGAATTCAAATTTAGCTACCATGTTGGAAACAAAGCTCAGTGTGTTTTACTGATTAAAAGTAATTCCATGGATCTGGCTTTTCCAGGACATGGCGATGTCCAGACATTAGCAAAGCAGGTGAAAATGGGAGACCTGCAGGGAACAAATATCCCATTGTGGCTGTCACCTGGGAATTCCAACGGGCAGCCCATTCTGCAACAAGAAGTTTCCAGTTCAGGCTGGAGGGTTTCCTGTGCACAACAAAGACCTTTCACCATACTGCTGGGCTCTGGCTTAGAAGAGGGGGAAATTAACAGAACAAAATGGGTGTTAGAAGAAGGAGATTGGGGCAGAGGAGGAGAGAGAGGTCACATAAAACAAAGATGCCTCAAAATAGAGAGGGGGCAGGCAAATGAGGCTGCACACCTGTTTCTGGTTTCTGCTCTCTGCAGTCTGTTTGTGCTTGCAGGAAGAACTTCTGCCTTGCTCAGAGCCGTAGACCTGTAATGTGAGTTGACCTTTCTCAAGAAATTCACAGCTAGAAAAAGTTGGCAAGGTTTGACTGAAGCTGGGAGTTCTTCCCTAGGTCATGCGCAACTACTCTCACAACTTAAATCCTCCTGCACATGTTTGAAAATCTGGGTGTCTTCATTTACTCAGTGTTTGATTTAAGAAAAAGAGAACCAGGAACTCCAGGTGAACAAGTTTTCGAAAGCTGTCAGTGGAGAGGTACTGGTTACAGGTGTAGGAATGAGTTCAAGGGGGTGTGGCTTTATGGTAAGCCTGCCAAGGCCCCTTCTCTCCTCAATGGATGCCAGCAGGCAGGTCCCTGTGGCCCCCACAAAGGGGGGTTCTGACCCACCTGTGGCCTTGAATTCAGCTTTCCTTGCCAATTAGCTGTGCGATGAGCCGATATGCTCTTTACTTCCCTGAATAAGAGGCTGCTGCAGATACAGAGGACAGGAAGGTTTCCAGTGACTAATTTGCCTATAACTTTAGTCATCTTCACCAGTGCCAAGGAGTTTGTGGTTTCACCGTGACTCATTCTGCAATGTTCATGGCTGTAGAAGCAGTGAAGGAGAGTGAGTGAAGCAGCCCCGGAGAGGCTGAACCTGGGGCAGCCACGGCACTGGGTGTCGATGGTTCTAGATAAAACCGCCCACCACATCCATCACATGACTTTGGATGTGACTCTTGTGTGTCAATGGTGTGGGTTGACCTGTGCCTGGAGAGGCGACCTCTGTGTTGCTCATGAGGACCTGAGGGATGGCACTCCACGCTGCCACTCCAGACAGAACCCACACCTCCAAGGTAGACGGCTTAGTGTTTCAACACTTCCCTGTCATGATCCCACCTGACCAGACAAAGCTAACACAGGCCAAAGACCGGCCTACTTCTTATCACCCTTCCCGCAGCTCCCGAACTCCAGGCCTTGATAGGAGGCCAAGAACAAGAAGTTCTGCCTCTGGTTGTGGCCATTTCTGCTGAGTCATGTGGACTCAGCGCCACTTTCCACAGACATTTTAAAAAGAACTGCCCCACAGCTTCATTAGGTACCGTACCTGACAGCAAAGAAGAGCTCATTGAAAATATCTAAATAAAAACATACAAGTCCTGACATACTGGGATGACTGAGCTTCTAGAAATGCCAAGAAAACTGATTTGGGTTTAATGATAAGCTGTGGTTGCACCATCATGGAGCAGTTTCAGGAAACATCGAGGACACTGATAGAGAACTACAAGGTCAACGTGGAAAATGAGCAAGATGAAGCAGAGGCATTACACAGACTCCAGTGCCCCAGAAAAGGTGAACGGGAAAGCATGACGTACGAGCTGCCACTCCGGATCCAACCCATAGTCTGCTCCAGCCAGTGTTCTGGAGTTTGCAAAAGAATATTTCACAGGATGATTTCTAGATTCACACGTTTGTTGGATATGGATGTATGTCAGGGAGCGCCCTGGCGCATCACCCCCACCTCCAGCCAATACGCTCCGTGGATCCCTCCTGGGATGTTTACAGCTCATGTCAAATTTCAGAGCTAAACCCAGCTTCCCACCTCAGGGCCCTTCTCCACCAGCCAGGGACAAAACTCAACGTAACTCAAGCCTGGATTTGTGAGCAGAGATGGGCTCTCCCTGTTGGAGAATGAGAGCATGCATTATTTAAGTTCCTTTTCACTTAATTTATCAAACTAATATGCCGAGGTATTTTCTGTATCACAAGGGACCGTTTGGTAACAGCTTGCATGGAGTAAGCGTTTAATGTTTACCGAGTGAATGTATAATAAGCTGAATCGCTGAACGCTTAAGTAAACATGGCCTATTAGAGGGAAGGCAGTGTGATGTCAGTAAGGAGAAATCACGTCTCACTAATCTCCTTGAGTTCTTTGAGCAGATAAATAAGCATATGGATAAGAGGGAACCACATAACCCAATTTAATTTGACTTTCAAAAACCTGTGAAAAAAATCCCACTTTAACGACTGCTTTTTAAAAAATTGAGTCACTAAGGGTTGTTTTATCATGGCTATGGAATTGGCTTAAAGACCATAAACAAAGCTAAAGATAAATGGACACACTCCCAGATGGAAAACTATAAACACTGGGGTTTCCTGGAGATCTCACCTACGATGGGTCTTTTCACATGTTCGTGAATGACCGAGACGAAGAAGACTATATTGCAAATCCAGGTTCAAGTTATACCTCATTCTTCTGGGAAGAATGTCAAGTTGATGGGGATTCCATTCAGTTGGAACAAGAATATATTGGATGCTGAAGAGTCAATATGTGTTTATGTCATAGGGTATAAAAAAGAAGTACAAGATACAGTTCTTGGCCTTAAAGAGCTAATAATCAAGCTAGAGTGAAAGTCACATCCTCCTTGACTGTAAATAGTGGAAGGCACAAGGGGATCAACTGTGACAAGGAGTGACGCACATAGTGAGTGCTGTCAGAGTTCAGGGAAGGGGAAAAGTGGATGGGGATGGAGGCAGGGAAGGCTTCCTGGAGGAGGCAGAATCCGAGGAGTGTCTTGAAGAATAGAAAGAGTTTGGATGGGTGTGGAAGGGGTGGAGGGTTTTCTTGTGAAAGCACTAATGTGTCACCTGCCAAGTACCGTGTAGAGGGAGAGGTTATATGCATGACCCCATCTGGCTTTGCAACAGTCCAGTAAGGTGGATCATAACCCCCAACTCCAGGCCTTGAGAGGAGGCCAAGAATAAGTTCTGCCACTGACTGTGACCATTTCTGCTGAATCATGTTGACTCAGCTCCACTTTCCATGATATTTTTAAAAAGAGCTGCACCAGCTCCTTTTTAAGTTAAGAAATGTGGCCAGGTACAGTGGCTCAGGGCTGTAATCCCAGCACCTTGGAAGGCCAAGGTGAGAGTATCCCTTGAGGCCAGAAGCTATAGGCCAACCTGGATGACATAGTAAGACCCCAACTCTGCCAAATATTTTTTTTTAAAAATTAGCTGGGCATGGTGGCACACACATGCAGTCCCAGCTACCTAGGAGGCTGAGGCAGGAGGATCACTTGAGCCCAGGAGTTCGAGGCTGCAGTGAGCTCCGATCACACCACTGCACTCCAGCCTGGAGGGCAACACCCTGTCTCCAAAAAAAAAAAAAAGAATGTGCTCAAACTCACATCATAATAAATATGAGCCCCACTGTTATGCTACCTTCAATTCTGGGGCAGTGTCAGCGTGAGCAAGGCAGAAGAGGTCAGGCCTCTCCAGAGCAGGTGAGGGTGAGCAGGGAGAGGCTGGAGTGACCGCTTGAATTGGGGAGTGGTGAGAGACCGGATGGAGCACAGACAATGGATTTAAGTCACAAGGGCCCTTAAATATAGTCTGGGGAACTTGAACTTAGTCCTGAAGGCTTAATCCCGTGCTGAGTGGAAGAGGAAGGAAACTGGAACCATACTCTGGAGTTTGGGGCCCTGGACCTAGTCTGGGTGGAGGGTGGATGAGGGGGTGTGAAAGAAATTAGGAAGGGCAAACAAATGGCTTGGAGGAGAAACTGACCAAAGCTCAGAGCAATGTTATTTGGTCCCCTCTGCTTGAACACGTGCATCGGGTATGTCTGTCCCTAGCACACCGAACCTCTTTCAGGTCAGCTCTCAGGGTCACATGTCCTGGTGGCATGGGAGGAAATATGGAGACACCGGTTGGCAAGTGCTGTCTCGTGTCTCATGGGCTCGGGCAGTCTCAAGAGCTGTGGCAGATTCCTGGGAGTGCCTTTGCTGCTTGCTTGGATATGACTTGGTGGTCCATGCACTTTGACTTACTGTCTTTTTAATAGCTTCAACTTCCCTTGAGCTTTAGCTTTCTTGAAGCATTTCTTAAATGTAAATGCCACTCTTTTGTACCAGTCCCATAGATCCCTTTTGAAAACCTGAGTTTGATGAGGAGCTCACTTTTGAGTGGAACTGACATAAACCTGATCAGAGGCCTGATTGCATCCCCATTCAATCTGACATGCAGTGCCTCCATCTTAGAACGATTCCCACTCATCTATATGCAGAAACAAAACTACGTACCATTCTGTTGGTAAAGTTACTGAAGTTCTCGACCAACACCTGCTTGATCATGTCCGGCTCGGAAATAACAATAAACATCCGACGACCAAGATAGTACCTGGGGGGAATAAAACATATGTTAAAATGCGTTACATTTACCCATGTCTCCTTTCCAAAAAAGAATTCACAGTGGCTCAGAATGAGGGATGAAAGATAACCTGGAAGTAAAGGTGTGGAGACAATGAGGAAATGCATGTTCCCATCATGAGCAACCATACAGCTGTGATGATATAACATCAAATTTCTTTCCATCAGCACTCATGGAATACCGCCTTGCATCAGTCCCTGGAGACGCTGGCTGGAATAAGATACACTCCCTGCCCCAAGGAGCTTATTACAGCCTAATAGGAAAGACAGAGCTATACATGTAAATGCAATAATAAGGGGTTCATAAGGTCCAGTAGTAAGACAAAGAAGGAAAATGGCAGAGGTCAGCGTTGTCTGTATTTCCTCAAAATGTCAAGATAGGGATTCTAGCAAGAGAAGACCAATGAACTTTATACTGATTCTCAGAAAATGTCTAATGTGAATCAGTAAACAGATGCTTGTGAGGAAAGATTAAACCTGCTTGGGAAGAACTGAATATCTGGTTGCCACATCTATATATAAAGGAGCTCAACAGATACTTTTTTAAATATTTTATTTTTATTTTTGTGATGGAGTCTTGCTGTTTTGTCCAGGCTGTAATACCGTGGTGCTATCTCAGCTCAATGCAACCTCCGCCTCCTGGATTCAAGCAATTCTCCTGCCTCAGCCTCCTGCGTAGCTGAGATTACAGGTGCCCATCACCACACCCAGCTAATTTTTGTATTTTTAGTAGAGACAGGGTTTCACCTTGGTGGCCAGGCTGGCCTTGAACTCCTGACCTCAGGTGATCCCCCCCATCTCGGCTTCCTGAAGTGCTGGGATTACAGGCATGAACCTCTGTGGCCAGCCCTCAACAGATACTTAATGACAATAATGAAGATATGGATGAAAGGCTCATCCAGTCAGCTGGTGGCATGAACTCTAACTGGAGATAGTGCTTAAATACATGTCATATTATATTTATGAAAGTACTGGGGGCACAAAAGCAATCAAGACCCAGTCACAGTTTCCAAGGGTCTGACCATCTGACAGGTGAGGCAGTTAGGCAATTAACATATAGCGTGATGTTCTGGCAGGCATGAGTGACCCTGGAGGCACACCCTCACTGCCTAAAGGAGAGAAAGTGAAGGCTTCCCAGAGGTGGTGCTTCCCAAGCTGAGTTCTGGAAGATGGCAAGAGTTGGTCCAGGAAGAAGGGGTGACAAAGGAGGCAAGGGTGTGCTGGCTGGAGGAATCAGCCTGAGCAGTTGGGCCAGGAACAAGCCTGCTTGGGGGAACCATGAGTGTCCCCCTACCAACTGCGCAAAGCAAGCCAGAGTGATGCATGCGGCCCACTGTATAATGACATGTTTTCAGTGTATGAAATTATACTTTCAGGGATGTAATTTGATCACTTGGTGTATCCAGCTCAAAGCAGTAAGGAACAGATTTTAAAGGGGAAAGTCACACGGAAAAGCAGCCAGTTACTCTGGCACTTATTTACTAAGAACTTTTCATAAACCTAAATGACATTAATTTTTTTAACTCTTTTCTTTCTCATCGACTATAAAACAATAAAAAATATTTGTCTGTCATGTATTAGGCACTTGGAAAATATGATGACTCAGGTAAATATTTTGGTAAACATTTGGAAAATACTTTGGTAAATATTTGGAAAATATTTACCTGAGTCATCATATTTTCCAAAATTGTCAGGAAAATCTTTGGGAAACAGGAATTCAATAGATGTGGTACAAAGAAAGCAAAGAATACTAACTAGTTTTTGTGTGTTTGTTTGTTTTTACTGATTTTAACCAAGAAAACAAAAAACAACTCAATAAGTCCATAAACCAATGCTTTTATAAAATTTCTGGTGAGGGTCATAGGGTCTTTTGAGAATCTAGTGAAAGCTGTGAACACTTAGAGCATTCTGTATGCAATTTGAGAAGTCCTCGGATCTCTCAACCCCACTTCAGAGCAATGTTTCTCAAATTTGCACTGTGCTTAAAAGTCACCTTGGCTTGAAGAAATAACAGCTGAAAATTTCTCCAATTTCACAAAAGACATAAACCTACAGATTCAAGAAGGTGAGTGAATCTCAACTTGATGAACCCACGGAAATCCATGCCAAGATACATCATAGTTAAACTTCTGAAACTAAAAAAGCAAGAAAAACATCTTGAAAACAACCAGAGAGAAATGATGTATTATCTATAGGGAACACCAGTTCAAAGGACAGTAGGTTTTTTTAATCAAGAACCATGGAAGCCAGAAGGAAGTGGCACATTTTTCAAGTGCTGAAAGGAAATAACTGTCAATCACAAGTCATCTATTTGGTGAAAGTATCCTTCAGGAGAAAAGTGGAAATAATGGCATTCTCTGATGAAGGAAAACTAAGAGATTCTGTCACTCACATATTTACCCTTAAAGAATGGCTGAAGAACATTCTCCAAACAGAAAGGAAAGGGAGATGATAACAGAAGAAATTTTAGAACTTCAGAAAGGAAAGAAGGATAATGAAATGGATAAAAATAATACACTATCCTTCTCAGGAGTCTCTTAAATCATACCTGATGGTTCAACCAAAAATTACACCATTATATGATGCAATACTCAATATACTTAGAGGAAATACTTAAGACAATTATATTTAAAAAGTAAGGAGGCTCAAGGGATCAAAATGGAAGTAAGATTTCTACACATCACTCAAAATGATAAGGCATTCATCCTCAGAGGTTGTGATAAATTACATATATGTATTTACATAAGCACTAGGAAAACAAAAAACCTTATCAAGCACAGGGAAGGAAATAATAAAAAATAAGTGCAGAACTCAATGAACCTGAAAACAAAAAAAAATAGAAAAATTCATGAACAAAAAACTGGTTCTTTGAAAAACATCAATAAAATTGATAAACCTTGAGCAAGACTAACAAAGATAAAAAAGAGAAGAAACAAACCACCAGTATAAGGAATGAAATGGGGTATCACTACAAATACTGCAGCCATTAAAAGGTTAAGGGACTCTACAAACAACTTTAGACTAATATATTTAAAAACCGGAAAGAAATTGACCAATGCTATGAAAACGATGGACTACTAAAACTCAACCAAGATGAATTAGACAATCCAAAGAATCTTACAACCACAAAACAATGAATAATTTTAATTAAATTTCAGAATGTATTCATAATTTTTTTTTGTTTTTCACATCTACTTCTTGAATTAATAATTTTTTATTTGAATTCATAATTTTAAATTTCCTGAAAAAGACATCTCCCGGCCAGGATGGTTTCAATAGAGAATCCTACCAAATATTTAAAGAAGAATTAACACTAATTGTACAATATCTTCCAGAAGATAAAAGAGGAGGAAACACTTTACAACTCAATTTACGAAGTCTGGTTTACTCTGATACCAAAACCAGCCAAAGATAGTACAAGAAAACTATAGACCAGTATCCATCATGAGCTTAAATGCAAGAAATTTCAACAAATCAAGTCTAGCAATATATAAAAAGACTTATATAACAAAACCAAGGGGCATTTATTGTAGGTGTTTAAGACTAATTCAATATTTTCAAATCAATAAATATAATTCACTATATTAACTGCCTAAAAAATAAAAAATTATGTGATTGTATCAGTTGACATGAGAAAGCATTTGGCAAACTCCAGCACTTGTTTATGATAAAAACTCTCAGGAATAGAGAGAAAGATCCTCAGCTTGATAAAGAACATCTACAAAAACCCTACAGCTAACATCATACTTAATGTGAAAGACTGAATGCCTTTCCTTAAGATGGGGAACAAGGCAAGGATGTCCTCTCCTACTACTCTTATTTGACATAGTATTGGAAGTTCTAGCCAGTACAATCAGGCAAGAAAAATAAATGAAAAGCATATAGGCTGAAAAAGAATAAATACAATTGTCCCTAATTTGAGATGACATTATATCTACAGAAGAAATACTAAGAAATTTCAAAACAATCTTAGAACTAATAAGTGAGTTCAGCAAGGTTGCAGGATTCCAGATCAACATACCAGAAAACAAAAAACAAAAAACATCAATAGCATTTCTACATGCTAACAATGAACATGTGTAAACCAAATGAAAACACAATGCAACTTACAATGTTGATGAAAGACATAAAAGAAGACCGAAGTAAATGGAGAAACATATCATGTTCATGAATTGGAAGACTACACAATGTAAAAGATATCAATTCTCGAAAAACTGGCATACAGGTTTAATGCAATTCCAATCAAAGTTTCAGCAAGAATATTTGTAGGTGTAGGCAAATTTACTCCAAAAGTTATATGAAAAGGCAAAGAACTTAAAATAACTAACTCAATTTTGAAAAAGAATGAGGTGGGAAGAATCAGTCTACTACATCCCAAGACTTGGCTATAGTCATCAAGACTGTGTGGTATTGGCAGAAAGACAAACACACAGATCAATGGGACAAAATAGAGAACCCAGAAGTAGACCCACATATATAAGCTCAACTGATAATTTTAATAACGATACAAAATCAGTTCAGTTCAGGAAGGGTACGTTTTTCAACAAAAGATGCTAGAGTAGGCCAGGCATGGTGGGTCATGCCTGTAATCCAGCACTGTGGGAGGCCAAGGCAGGTGGATAACTTGAGGTCTGGTGTCTGAGACCAGCCTGGCCAACGTGGTGAAATGCTGTCTCTACTAAAAATACAAAAAGTATCCAGGCATGGTAGCACGTGCCTGTAGTCCCAGCTACTTGGGAGGCTGAGGCAGGAAAAGTGCTTGAACCTGGGAGGTGGAGGTTGCAGTAAGCCAAGATCATGCCACTGCACTCCACCCTCAGAAACAGAGTGAGACTCTGTCTAAAAAAAAAAAAAAAAAAAAAAGATGCTAGAGCAATTGACATACTGACATACATAGGTATAACATGAACCTTACACCTTATGCAAAAAATGAACTCAATATGGACCACAGACTTAAATGTAGAATGTGAA